CCCACATCCTTGTAGTTGTGCTTTTAAAGTTGTAGCAACGTTTCGGCAGAATCTCATCTGCCATCATCAGGCTTCTGTATAGGAGTACTTCTCTACAGAAGCCTGATGATGGCAGATGAGATTCTGCCAAAACGTTGCTACAACTCTAAAAGCACAACTACAATGACGTGGGAAAATACCCGAACAAAGCTGAAAGCCATATATATCTATATCTATATCTATATCTATCTATCTCTCTATCTCTCTATCTCTCTCTCTATCTCTCTCTCTATCTCTCTATCTATCTATCTATCTATCTATCTATCTATCTATCTATCTATCTATCTTGTATATTTAACAAGGACCATTTTTGGTTTTCTTATAAGCCACGGAGTTCTCTCAGCTGATATCTCCTTATTGTGTATGAATTGTGCCATTCTAGCTACTAAAGCATTGGCACTCATGAATGAATATAAAACATTGCGAAATTGTTTCATTTTAATTTCTGTCTGCACTTTAAGAGTAAGGAACAGGTGAATGATTGGATTGATAATGATTTTATTTGCGCAAGAATGAATTTGAGGAAATTCTCGGTGATGTGGTGATGGCCTCCATTTTTAAGCCAGCACAAATGGCTTCAAAATGGTATTAGATGAATAAATGGAGGCAAAACATAGCAATATTTCTGCGGGGTAGCTGAAGTCTTCCTATATTTCAAGGGAAGGCAAAAATGCCTTCCTGTCTGGCTTGAATGGGGTGGTGCCATGAATTTGAAGGCAAATGATGTCAGCAACTAGGCTGATATTGAAAAGCTTTGCAAAACAAAACCCATTTGGTTCTTGGATAGAAGTTCACTGCATAATACCAGGGTTGTATGTTAGGTTGAGTAGAGTATTTGAAAATATATCTTGGGAGAAGGCTATGACATTATTACTTCCAAACTACATGGACATGTCCAGGATGTCACCAGGATTTGGGCTTAACCTGAAGGAAGTTTTACTATACCTTTTAGTTCTGATCATGAGAAGTAAATTACTGCCAAGTGAAGGAAGATAATTTTATTAAGCATCTCGAAATAAATCAGCAACCATAAAATGGTTATAAATATACAAAAAGATAAACCAGCAACCAATTTTTCTCCTTAATAAAATTCTTGTCCCTTCGTTGGAGTAATGCTATGGACAATAATTCAGTCATAGATTATACATTTCTCAGGGAAAGAAATAGTTATCAGTCACTATCTGTTTCACCTTATCGGTTAAAATCCTAACAATCATAACCCCTTTTGCAAATGGCACCCATGTGGCTGAACCCTTAACTTATATATACCTCTGTGTATATGACAATGTAGGGGGCCCTATATATAAAGGGTAGTGGTGAGGAAATAATTATTGCAATTGATTTTGATAAAGAGAGGTTGGAGTGGCAGATCACTGTGAGAAAGTCTGCTTTGTGTCTTCTAGGTACTGTGGTTCCACAGCCCACATTAGCACCCCCAATTTCTTGCACCTCGTGCTCGGACCCTCGTGTGCTGCAGAAACTGGAGCAATTGGTGCAAGGCCTGGATCAAGTAAAATCCAAGTTGGACCAGCTAGCTGCCAAGGTTGGGAAATGTGGACAGGGTTCCCATGGTTAACATAGTTTGCAGGAGGAAGAGAGTGGTACAAAGAAATGCAGGACAAGCTTACAGAGTTGTATTTTTGGTTCAGTTTCAAAGAGCCAAACTTCCGGATTTAATCTAAATTCCAATATGATGCTGAAGACCCTTTAATGCCAATAAACCATTAGCTTTTCAGTCTTGTATCTACTTTTTAAAAAAATATAGCAACAATATATTCCCGTCCTGTAAAAGCTGCAGAGATGATATTGGAGATACTCACTATATATTATTTATCACATGGCACATTCACATCACATTTCAATAAAAGCACAAGAGATTAAAAACACAAAATATGAAATATAAGGTATAAAATATTACAAACGTACGTTTGGTTTACAGATATTTTTTCCCCTTCATTTGTGATAGCCAGATGTCTCAACAAAGTCTCCCTTGTAGGCACTATTTTGGCTTTGTATCACTTATATGTTGGATTTGTTTTTCAGTCGCACAATTTGGTGATGGTATTTTTACCACACTTATAGAGGGCATCTACACATCTATCATGGCCAGTGTGAATTTAGATCAGTGTGGTTCATGGGGTTGGTGAAATCCAGGTGGTTTTTCTAAAATGCAAGGCAAAAATTTCACTACCCAAATGATTACAATAACATCTTTAATAACATGATTAAACCAAGGAATCAAGGCATTAAGAAGAAAACAAACCCTACCTTAATTTCTTGGTGCATAAAAGAAAGAGAAGGAAAAACACTGGCAGGGTTTGATGACTTATTTGAGATCTTTGAGATAGTATAGACCAGGAAACAAACTACACGAATTTGATGGAAACTGTTATGTATTGATACAGGCTACAATCTTGATGGTTTGACTGTGCTTTTCCTTCTCTTCTTCTTATACCCCACAGAATTAGAGCAGAGCCAGCCTAGGTTTCATCCTAACCTTTTCTTTGTTTCTCGGCTTTAAAACGTGATCTTGTAACCATCTCTGCACAGTCTCATCAATGCTCTGTGAGCTGTGAGGGCTCAGCAGGAATACGTAGCAGATGGCCCTCCATAAATTCCAGAAGCCTTAGGTAGCATGACCAAGAGTAAGAGATGATGGAAGCTTCAGTTTAGAGTAATCTCAGAAAACACATATTGCCCAATCTGATTCACAACATTAGTTTAATTCAAATCTTGAAGCACGACAAGCAAAAAACCATGCAAACAGATAATCCTGCAGGAAATTTTATTCAGAAGTAATTTCTCGGATCTCAGGGAAGTTGTTTCCATATATCAAGTGATTATATCTAAAAAGCGTACCATGTTTACAATTTTACAGAGAAAATGTAAGTAGGATTTTCTCTTCGTAATATAAGAATTCAAACTTATTCAGTGAAATGGGCTGATACCATATAGATAATCCTCTTACAACCACAATTGAACCCAAAATTTCTGTTGCTAAGTAAGACAGTTGTTAAGTGAATTTTGCCCCATTTTACAACCTTTCTTGCCACAGTTGTTAAGTGAATCGGCGAGTTGTTAAGTTAGTAACATGTTTGTTAAATGATCTGGTATCTCCATTGACTTGTCAGAAGGTGACAAAAGGTGATCGCATGACTCTGCAATCGTCACTAAATGAACTATTGTAAATGGAATACTAAGTATTTAAGAAAGATGGAAACAGATGATTCAATGTATACTATTTCAAAATCACTGATACAAATGTTCTGATGCACTCTCTGATAGCTTTCAGAAAAGATTAGTCAATACTATTTCAAAACCACTGTTACAAATGATAGCTTTCACAAAAGATTAGTCTCTGATAGCTTTCACAAAAGATTAGTCTCTGATAGTTTTCACAAAAGATTAGTCTCTGATAGTTTTCACAAAAGATTAGTCAAATCCAGAAGAGAATGACAAGGGTTAATAATCAGGATGGTGAAAATAAAACTTCCATGTTCAGCAGTAGTATATTACAGATTCTGTGTTGCACTGAGACACGCACAGCAGGAAAGGCTTTTTTTCTTCAACTCCTGTGACAATTTTCACAGCAAATTTGGTTAATCTTTCCATGTAAAAGGATGTTTTAAAAAAGAATGATGGTAATCTTGTCAAAAACTTTAAAGTAATCATTTCCTAAAGCGTTGTGCAGTTACGAGTGCCTGCCCAAAAGCTGACAATGTCTTAGTGGCAGATTTTCAATCATTGCATGCTGGATAATGAAAGATTATAAATTCCTTACTATGGATCACCAGTGAGGGGATATCAAAGAAGTCAAAATGGCGGCCACGACTGTACAATTATAGCTTGTCATTTTTTACATGCAATTGTTGGAAGAAATATTCATCTGGTTCAGTTCCAAGCCAGGAGAAAGACACTGGCAACATGGAGGTGAAGACCCTGGAGCTGAAGTCTTTTGTTTTGAATATAGGCTGGCCCAGTCTTTCTTAATGGGAACAAAATATCTGGTGGGGGCAGTGAGCTGAGCTTTAAGTTTTTCTCTCCCTAAAGACTTTTCCTCTTTTAGGGATAATATTTTACCCTGCCTTTTAAAAATATTCCTCAAAATTTTCATTCTTCTAGGAGTAGGTGGGTGCTAACTTTCTACACTATAATGGAACTTTTACTGTACAGTTGGAATCTTGACCTTTTGTAACACCAATACAGAGGGGTGCTTCATCATTCTGCCTCCATCTCAGGATTTCCCAAACTTGGCAACTTTGAGATGGGTGGACTTCAATTCCCAGAACTCCCAGGCCAGCCTGATGACTGGGGAATTCTGGGAATTGAAGTCCATGCATCTCAAAGTTGTAAAGTTTGGGAAAGCCTGTTTACCTTGACGTTAGATGGAAACTACGGTCTCAGACAAGTATAGATGGTTTCCAGATATTTTTTGGTGTCTATACAATCAAGACTAGTGCTAGATTGCCCAGTATCCAAAACAAAGAATATCTTTTAGCCTGCTGTCTCCATTCAGCTTAGAGATTTCTTTTTATTATCTGTAGCATGAATAATAGTTGTGTTTTTTATTATTTATAGTGTTTAGCATTCATGGGGAGGTCAGCTGCTTGATAATATCACCTTGTTTCACTAATTATTATCTTGAATGAAAGGCAGCAAACTAGATACTGAGAAGCAGACATAATCTAAACTTTGTTTTAATAACTAGTCAGATGACAATCTATTTTTACTATGTAACCTTTTTTGCTTTGGAAAAAAGCCTCAGTCAAAGACATAAAATTTAAGAAACAAGGACTTGCTTTGCTTTAGGATAGAAAGGAATGCTGAATGGTGTTGGTGTAAACTAGATTTGGTTATATTTCTAACTTTTCCCTGTTTCATGCCTCTAGTTTCTCAGGCATACTATTTCTTATTCCTTTCTTCACTTTGCATATTGTTGTTTATCCCCAAAGGGATTTGGGGATAAACAACAGATTTTTATTTATTTTTGCCATGTCTAACAGAGCCTTTGCAGCTATAACTACCTGCAGATTTTTCCCTGGAGACAGCAATAAATAAGAAGGTAAAAAAGGGCATCTGTGGCTGCCTCACAATCAAGAGGTAAGAAATTAAACAAGCATTCAATTCAGATGAAGTGACTGCCTTTGAAATTAACCCCAGTCTAATTATACTTGCACTACTGTATCCAAAGTGAGAATTTTACCAAAAATTGCATCAATGTTTCTTAAGATGCATGGATTTCCATTGGCAATAGGAATGTTTACTGCAATCACTGTCCAATCTTGCATTTTAAAGTTCAAAAATATTGGATAAATGAAGCTTTCAGTCCCGGAACGTGGCATTTTTTTGGTGAAAAAACAGGTTTCCAATCCAACGACTGAATTCTCCATTAAACTACTCCTTTGAATCCTCAGGGCCAACTTCAAAAACAATTCCAGGATATGCAAAAACGCCGCTTCGACAAACACCGTTCCTCCTCACTTATATACGCCACTTCCCTTCGGTTCTCTTCGGAAACGATCGAGAAGTCTCGGGAGTCCCGCGAAGAACCAACCTTAAACAGAGGAGCCGCGGTGTGTCGACCGTTCGGCCATCTTCGGTACATTCATGTGTTTTTTTTTCTCGACCATTTCCGAATTCCTTCGGCTATTTCCGGTTCCTCTCGGGGAATTCCGGCCTCGCTCGGTCTCCGGGGAAGTAGCAGCTGCCGCACCGCCACCGCCGGAGCAGTAGTTAGAAGTCTTGGCGGAATGGAAGGTACGCGCGGACGCCCCCTCCCCTCCCTACGGTGGGTTGGCGACCAAGCGCGAAGCCACGCCCCCCGCGGCTACGGGACTTGCCAGAAAGGAGATCCCGTTGGCGTCACTCACACTGGGCAAGGTCAAAGGTCGAGGCTGGGACGTTTTAAGTCGGGTCCTGGGTTTAAAGTTAATTGGCTGAGCGATGTGATGGACCGGTGTGTGTGTGTATGTGTGTGTAACAGAGACGGACGGACGGTTCTGGGTTCCAGTCTAACTCCGGTCGTTCACCGGTCCCTGTTTTTCTTTCAAGAGCCTCAGAGGGTGCAGGATGTGGGCGTGCCCCGCGCCTCGAATCTCCCTGGGGACCCCGAGCCTGAAGAGACCATCCGAAGCCTGCAAGCCCAGTTGGCAGCCGCCTTGGCCGAAGTGGAGACAGTCCGAGCTGTGGCTGCAGTGAGTGAAGGCACCAAGCAGGAGGCGGTGGAGGCTGTCCAGCGCCGGTGCCAGGAAGAGGTGGCTTCCTTGCAGACTATCTTGAAAGGTGAAGGAGGGAGTGCAGATCGTGGTGGGTGGGGAAGGACCTGGGGTTGTTTTGCCTGAGTGCCTGAAGCCTTTCCTTCTAGACCTGGTTGGATCTTGCCTTGGAGGTGGCAGCTCAAAAGTTTGTTTCCTTCCTAGATACCATTTCCAGCTACGAGGCCCGTCTGTCAGCATTCCAACGTGACAACCGGGAAAACATTTGGAGCAGGCTGCCAAGGACCAACCCTCTGGACTCATTGGAGAAACAGATGGAAAAAGTAAGCTATGCACTCCACCTGAATCTCTTTGAGGGCTAAACTGATTTTCCAGTGGGCAGGAAAAAAATAAAACTTATGACTGTCTTTCTCTCTTCTCTCTCCAGGCACAAGAGGATACTCAGCGACTCCGGGCCATTGTTCTGCCGATGGAGCAGGAAATTGCTGAATTGAAAGCAAAACTGGCCCATGCTGAGAGTCTGGTTCAGGAGCTGCAGAGTGAGGAGGTGAGACGGGAAAGAGGGACAGGAGGAAAGGTAAATATTGGAAGGGATGGGTGAAAGCTGCTTAATAGGGTAAAAAAGTGAAAAAAAGAGGAGGAAGGAGAAAATACCTTACAAAATATATCTGAAACTGATGGCTATCTCAGAATAGATGCCAAGCCTTTGTGCAAGTAATACCAGAAATGTAAGTCTTCAGCTCTAAGCCCAAGAAGGTGGATCTCTAAAAAGAATATAGATTGGCAAGTGAGACAGAGATGTGAGACAGAAAATGAATGACGTGAGGATGAAATAAATTTTACAGGATGATTAAAAGCCTGCAAAAGTTGTAGATGAATCACTAATGGAAGACATTTGTTTATTCAAACACATTTATGAACTACACAATTAAAATTCTGGGCAGTGCAGCATATAAAAGTGAGAGAACAAATGTTTAACTTCTGGTAATTTACAAATCTTCCATTAATGATGGAAAATTCAGGAAAGTCTTTGATTGATTGAATTTAGATTATCACCTATTCATCCGTGGTGGCTTACAGAATATAAAATCACATTTAAAACAATAAAAATTAACAAAAAGAATCATTTTCTTAAGTTTTTGCGGGTGCTTACATGTATGACATTCAGCTTTGTTCGGATATTTTCCCACTTTCATAGTAGTTGTGCTTCCTGCGGAAGGATCATGCTACAACTTTAAAAGCACAACTACTATGACGTGGGAAAATACCTGAACAAAGCTGAATGCCATACATCTATACATCTATACATCTATATATATATATGTGTGTGTGTGTGTATGTATGTGTATAAGAAAACATGTATATACATATATATATATGTTAAGTTTTTGTGGGTATTTATATATATGGTATTCAGCTTTGTTCGGGTATTTTCCCATGTCATTATAGTTGTGCTATCGTTGAACACAATACAGAAGTCTGATGATGGCAGATGAGATTCTGCCGAAACATTGCTACAGCTTTAAAAGCACAACTATAATGTCATGGGAAAATACCCGAACAAAGCTGAATGCCATACATATACATATACATATACATACACATACACATACACATACACATACACACATACATACATACATACATACACCATATATTTATTCAAGTCTTCAGCACCTTCCAGAAGAGTATTAGAGTGGGGGTTGTTCTAATCTCTGGGGGAATGATGTTCCATACAGAGGGAGCCACCATGGAGAAGGCCCTTCTTCTGGGTCCCACCAAGTGTATCTTCCTCAGGGATGGGACCCACAACATTCCCTGCCTCCCCACTCTGGCTGGTCAGGCAGATGTGACCGACAAGAGATGGTCCCACAGATAACCTTGTCCCAAGCCATGAAGGGCTTTAAAGGTGACAACCAGCACCTTGAATTGCACTCGGTAGCAAATTGGCAACCAGTGCAGCTCCTGCAGGAGAGTTGATACATGAGCACATGGGGGACTGCACAAAACTACATGGGCTGCCACATTTTGCACCAACTGGAGCTTCCAGATGCTCTTCAAGGACAGCCCCATGTAGAGCGTGTTGCAATGGTGAAGACGGGAAGTGACTAGGGCATGAGTGACTGTGACTAGGAACTGTTGGTCCAGGAAAGGACGTAAGTGACACACAACCTGCAGTTGCGTAAAGGCCCTCCTGGCTATGACTGCCACCTGCTCTTCAAGCAGGATTCATGAGTCCAGGAAAACCACTAGATTACGTACAGGATCAAAGGTGGCAATTCTCCCAAAGCTAACGAACCCCAAACCCAGAGCCACTCTGTCTTGCAAGGGTTTCGTTTCAACCTGTTGCTCCCCATCCAGCCCCTAACAGCCTCTAGGCACCTGCAAGAGGGAGGACACGGCATCACTTAACTCACCAGAGGCCGAGACATACAACTAAGTATCATCAGCATATGGTGATACCTCAGTCCATGGTGATGGATGATCTCACCAAGCGGCTTCATATAAATGTTGAACAGGAGCAAGGAGAGTACCAAGCTCTACAGAATCCTGTAAAGCAATGGGTAAGGGCTTGATCTCTCCCCTCCTATCAACACTGACTGAGAGCGGCAGCAGAGGAAGAAAGTGAACCAGGACAGCACAAGGCCTCCCATCCCCTGAAGCTGCCCCAGGAGAATCCCATGGTCAATGGTATCAAAAGCCGCTGAGATATCAAGTAGAGCAAGGACGGATGCACTGCCCCCATCCCACTCCTGTCAGAAGTCATCCAAAAGTGCGACCAATGCCGCTTCTGTCCCAAATCCAGGCCTGATTCCTGACTAGCACTTAGGTCATTTGAGATGAGTACTCTGTCAAGGATCTTGGAGTACTCATCTCTAATGATCTAAGTGCTAGAACCCACTGTAACTACATAGCCAAAAAGGCATTAAGAGTTGTTAACCTAATCTTATGTAGCTTTTTCTCTGGTAATATTACACTACTAACTAGAGTATACAAAACATTTGCTAGATCAATACTCGAATACAGCTCATCACTCTGGAACCCACATTACGTATGTGATAACACAGTTGAGAAAGTCCAGAAATATTTCACAAGAAGAGTTCTCCATTCCTCTACTCTTTGCAGAATACCTTATGCCACCAGACTCGAAATTCTAGACCTAGAAAACCTAGAACTACGCCGCCTTCGGTCCGATCTAAGTATAGTATATAAAATCATACATTGCAATGTTCTACTTGTCAATGAATACTTCAGCTTCAACTATAACAACAAAAGAGCAAACAATAGATACAAACTCGCACCAAACTACTAATCACACCAAACTTGATTGCAGGAAATACAACTTCAGCAACAGAGTGGTCAATGTCTGGAATACTCTACCTGACTCTGTGGGTTTTTTTCCCCAAATCCCCAAAACTTTAACCTTAGACTGTCTACTATTAACCTCACCCCTTTCCTAAGAGGCCTGTAGGGGGTGTGCATAAGCGCACCAATGTGCCTACCGTCCCTGTCCTATTGTTTCTTTTATATATTTTTTATTTTTCTTATATGTATCCATGTATTCATAACTATTTTAACTTTTTACTTATACCTATTATCTTGTAAGCAATTAACAAATAAAATAAAAAATAAAAAAATAGTAGGGGTCGAGATAATCCATTTCATCCAGAAACCTCTGGAGCTGCCATGCAATCACCTCCTTAACAACCTTTCCCAAAAAGGGAAGATTGGAAACAAGTTGAAAATTATCCAGCTGGGTGGAGTCCAGTGATGGCTTCTTAAGAAGGCAGAGCACAGCATCCTTAAAGTGCTGGGGTACTGACCCCTCCTGTACAGAAGCATCCACCCATCTGTCAGTTCCTGGGAAGCTTTCACAAGCAAGGAGGCACATGGGTCTAAAACACAGGTGCTTTATGGCCAGTGAGATGTGCTTCCTATTCCTATATATCCAAAGACATGTGCTTCCTATTCTGATTCTAGGCAGCTCACAACACATGAAATAAAACAGAATAAAATCCATTTGTAAACCCACTACATAATCACAGAGCTGATTATAAGCTATAGGTAAACCATCGACTACTGTCAAGTGAATCTGAATGCTTTCTTAAAGTTTGGCCACCTTCTGGCATATCAGTGCAGGACCACATCTAACTTGGCAGGGGTGGGGTGTTCCAGAGGGAGAGCCACGTTACTGAGAAAGTTAATCTCTGGGTCCCAGCTTCCTTCCTGATTTCTTTCAGTATCGATACCCAGTGCATTTTCTCAGGTTAGGCAGATTGGACAAACTCTACGTGAAATTGATTGTGCCATCAAATCTTTTTCAACCTCTAGTGATTGCATAGATTTTCTCTATGATGATCTATTCTGAACCTGAAATAAATGATCTTAAAATAATGAGAGCCCCAGCTATAAATACTTTGCAATACCCAATTTGAGCCACTTGGGATTTTTTTTAAACTCCCGCATTTTTCTTTTCAGCATTCCTTATGTAGTTCGGCTGAATCCCTTCTTGCTGAACCCGAGGCTGTGTCCACGGATTTGCCTGGAAGTCACCAGGTTCCTTTGATGGAAGGAGGAGTAGCAGAGAAGTTTGCCTGTAGTCTGGACAGCATCTCCATTGCTTCATTTTCCTCTTTGGGACCAAGTTCTGGGCCTTCTGTCCGACGCAGATGTTCCCCAAGCCCTGAGACTTGTTCCATTGCCTCTTCAACTGGAACCCTGGTGCCTGAGACTATTTATCTACCACCAGTGGGATACCAGCTTGTATCTGAATCAGAGTGGGCTCAGCTCCAAGAACAGGTTTGTGTGTGGAAAACAAAGATAGTTTATTGTTAGAGATATTTTTGTGTATTCATTTAAGATACTTTTTGAACTGTCTTTCAGGATATAGCCATCCAAGATAGTAACTTCTTTTATACAGAAAGAATGTTATGTTCCAAATTACTTTCAAATGCTTTCACTTCAAGACTCCATAAATTTTCTTTTTGTTTTCCTGGCTCTGTTGCTTTTGACCATTCATGCTGTTTCCTGGTCTTCTTTCTTTGCCCAACTTTTGCTATACCATTTTTTGTAGCGTTATGAAATTAAGCACCTAAACTGGTGTTGGAAGAATTTGAGAGTATTACAAAAATGTTTAGAGCAACTTTCAACTAGGTACATTGGTGCTTAAAATTAATCCTTTTGAATTTCCTACATTTCTGCGTAGACATGACGTAAAATGTAATCTGTTCTTTACACAAGTCCTAAAACTAGATAAAGTGAACCCAATTAATTGAGAGAAAGCATTGTACCGGTTCATTTATTTATTGAAAATGATCTAAAACTACATATTGGTGCATAGCAAAAATTTAAAAAATGTTTTTGACTCCTTTATTTAAATGGGTTCTTTTTATCCAGTTTTAGGAAAGTGCGTGGAGAACAGATCATGTGTTAGGTCATCTTTATGCAGAAATATTGAAAATTCAAAAGTACTGCCACAGAGGGCTTCACAGAGCCACAGAGCAGCTACCTCACAAAGGGGCCAAGCCCAATGCCCTTTGTCAGCAGCAGGAGGAAGAAGACAGCAAGGAGTGAAGCACAGGGCCCCCAAAAGGGCAAGGATGGGGAGGGCATAGGCAAGTGGGGGTGGGGGAATTGAAGCAGAGGCAAATGGGACAGGGCAGGAAAAATGTGAGGTCTTTGCTTAATAGCATGGTATCACAACCAGGACAACTGAAATTGCCACTGCTAACCAGTGCAGTCATATGTTTTCCCTAATGATCGCTTCACTTAAGATTGAAGTCCCAATTAGGGTCATGAAGCAAAGACCTGAGACCTTTCCTTGCAACTTGCAACTTCTTTTTGAAGGGGTTGATTGTTAAGAAGTGAAATACTGCCCTAAACCAAATTCTTTAAACTTTTAAATAAATGCATAGCCTTAAAGCAGCCATTGTCTTCCTCAAATACGTTAAAAGGGCTCCATAAATTTCAGCCCTGCTTGCTATAAAAGTACAAGATTATCTACCTGTATTATAGGAATATGTACAATATCGTTGTAATCCCACCCACAAACACCCTGGTGATTGAGGCCTCCTGGTTCTATCACATTGCAATTTTTGGCACAGAGTACATAAGAGAATTGGCAGGCTCCTTGGTGGAAGATTTGTGGGCTGGGGGTGGATTTACTTGATAATTATTCTATACAATCAGCATTGTTGGTATTGGTTTTCAAGGTTTCTCTCTGCTGCCTTTGTACTTTGATTGTTCACAGTTATTGTCTTAACAAGGATTTTCAGCTGCTTTGGAAAGTTTTTTGGAGGATATTACAGCTAGCTGATAATTTTTTCATGGAATGTCATCAACTTTGTAACTCATTCGCCAGAGGGATAAGATAATTCTGATTAGCATAGTGAGAAATACAGGTAATCCTTGCTTCACAAGGGTAATTGGGACTGGAATTATCATTGCTAAGTGATGCAATCATAAAGTGTGATATCACATGACTGCTGCTTAGCAATGACAATTCTGGCAGTTATCAATCATAGTGAAGCGAGAACTGTGTGGGTTTTTAAGCAAGGACCTCATGTGTTTGTGACTTCTGACTTCTTGCCGGCTTTCCCATTGACTTTGCTTGTGGAAAGCCAGCAGGGAAGGCAGCAAATTGCAATTTGTGATTGCAGGATGGTGCAACAATTAGAAATCCAGACTGATTGCTGAACACCTAGATTGCAATCATGTGCCTGCAGGGGTGCTGCACCAGCTGAAACTTTAAGGACCAGTCAAATACCCCTTGTTCAACACCAAGGCAAATTCAAATGGTCACTGAACAAGTGTTAAATAAAACACCATCTGTAGAAGAATTTTGAGAAATGAGACATGTGAAGTTAAAGGCTTCCTTTCCCCATCCCCTATATCCTCCTCAGGTGCAACAGCAACGTGGAACTCTGGACGAGCGAGCCAAGGAAAAAGCTAATCTGGAGGAGGCATTGAGACGTAGCACTGAAGAGTGCAGTAAGCAGGTAAATTCAATGTCTTGGAACTCACGCTTATTCTAATGTTAAATTGGATATCTGTCGTTTCTCTAAGGACCTTGAAGTGGAACGCAGGATTAAATCCATGTATCCATAAAGCATATGCAAATAAGACATAATAAAATACTAAATATTAAAAAATGATATCAAATGACCTATATAAAAAACTGTCAGAATTGTGCAGCGGGTGTCCAAATGGAGTCAGAGATGCTGACAAGAACTTGTGGTCTTATATAAATATATTTATGGTAAATAAGAAAGGCAAACAGGAGCATAGTCAGGTAAATCAACAGGGAATATCATGAGGTAAATCACAGAGAACATACACTGCAGAGAGGAAAAAAGGTGGAAAATGAGGAAATTCCCCCTTTACTCACAGCAACCAATCACAGCTCAGATTTCCTCATGCAGTGGCCAATTAGTTATAACTGTTCTTCCTTGTTGTCCAACCCTTCAGTCTCAACTATTACATTTTAAATATATTAACAAACACCAATAAATTCATAGAAATATCCATGTAGAAAGTTTGCCATTGTTTTCTACTGGATTGTTTTATTTCCTAGATTGGCCTATCATTCCTCAAATATTCTGGAGGTCTCCAAGCACTAACCAGACCTGAGCAATATCCAAACCAGGACAAATTATTTCAGATGCTGCCACTTTCTGGAACTCTATCAATAGTGTAGTTAAAAATAAATATTCAGAGTTTATTTTATGAGAAGACAAAAGCGTCTGCCCTTGTATTTGAAAAATAATTGTGAGTGGTAGGCTGATATCTCACAACTGAGAAGACCCAAGGCTTAATTCATCTGAGGTTTGTGGGTAAAAAATCTCTCAAGGATAATGTAGATTTCTAGGTAAATGCATATACTGTAGGAGGAAGTATTCCTTGAGATACTATGAGCACCAGCATATATAGATCTTTAACCATTAAGCTAAGGTATTGGGTGACTGTAGTCCTTAAGCCATAAATTATCATCTGTAAGGCTGAGTTTACACCAGATGTTAAGCCAAAATCAGGCAAGCCACATTACAGCATATTGCATTCTGCAGATTTAGTCACAGACTTGCTCAAGATAACATGAAATCCAGAGGCAGTTTGGTGATTTTAACCTGGCACGTTTCAATTGCAGAGCCAAATCTTAACCACTGTGCATTCTGTGCACAGAATGTAAGCTTTCTACAAACCAGTCTCTCTTTCTCATTTTTTCTGAGTAGGTTCAGGTTCTTTTGACTCAGATCCAGACATCAGAGAACCTTCTCCAAAGCCTCCAAGCCACTGTGAGTGAAACCCAGCGGCGGACTCAAGAGCAGTTGGTGAGTATAGTAGATGGATGCAGGTCCTGGGAGTGATGCAGAGGATACCAGATGAATTGGAAGAGATGCTTGGAAAAAAACAACAACCTGCTATGATGTATTCAGTTTGGGATCTTTCAGACTCAGACTTTAGGTAGGAATTCCAAGGCTATTGACTTGTTCTTTTAAATGCTATCAGGCCTTCTTCAGTAGAAGCTGAGAAAATAAGGTAGGAAATGAATTGTCTTTCTGTGATGAGTAGAGCCTCAGTAGAGCACGCTTGTCCAGATGCAACTTACAATATACCATTGGAGACTTGAGGACACAAGAAAAACTGTTTGTGGCACTTCTGATTTTTCAGAGTTGCAAATGCAAGTTGTTGCCAGGACATGCAGTGCTTCCTTACTAGGGATGAGGAGTTTGTGTGTCTTATAATTACAAAATGTCTTGAATAGATTTTTCTCCTCTTCTTGGCACATATATTTTTTCTCCAGATGGGCTGATAGGTGCAGTCTTTCCACAACTCTTGACTTATGACCACAATTGAGCCCATTTCCATTGCTAAGCAAGGGAGTTGTCAGTGATGCCCCATTTTACGACCTTATTGCCACTGCAGCTAAGTGAATTGTGGGGTGGTTAAGTGAATTTGGCTTCCCCGTTGACTTTGCTTGTCACAAAGTGATCACATGACCCCAGGACAGTGCAGCTGTCATCATAAATATATGCCAGTTGTCAAGTGCTTGAATTTTAGTCATGTGATCATGGAGATGCTGCAATGATCGTAGGTGTGAAAATCAGTCATAAGCCACTGTTTTAGAATTGTGTATACTTTGGTCGCTAAACAAATGGTTGTAAGTTGAGGATTGCCTGTATATCTTGTCAATTGTAGATTTGAAAAACACTTATCCAGAACAGCAAGCACAGAGTTTAGACCTTTCCTCACTTATAAACTCTGTGCTTGCTGTTCTGGATAAGTGTTTTTCAGAGGTCCTCATATAGAACCCTTTAAATTCTCTCTTGGAGACATCAGTGGAAGGATAGTTATTGGTTACTGACTGTCCCTCCCTCCTCTTGTGGTTCTCTTCCAGGCTGATTTGGCTGCATCCCACAAACGCCTCAGCTACGAAGTGCAACGTCTCAATGCCGAGAATGAAGGTCTGCGGGGGATGAGTGCCCAGGATTCTCCTCCAACAGAGGGTGAAACTAGAAGTTTGCCCAGCACAGTGCCGGTACCTAGACTCCAGTGAATGAGTTTGCTGGTGTTGTATGGATTGAATGTCATCTTTAATAAAACAGATTTTTTTTTTCCCCTCCCTTTTTCATTCCTCAGGAGTTGCAAACCATGGTGTCCAAGCTGAGACAAGAGTCTGCCTTACAACTTCGGGCTGCAGAGCATCAGGCTGAGCGCCTGCGAATTGAAATTATATCCTTGCGGGAACGGCTGGATGAAGAAACCGCATCCCAGTCAAGCCTGAAGGGAGCTCTGGAGAGAGAGCAGGAAGAAAGAGGTGGGCAAGGGAAAGTAAAGAATGATTGTGATCCTGATTGTACTGATAGGAATGAATCTCTAGAATTGGCAAGTGCTAAGTGTTTAAAAATCAGTTCCTCTGCATTTAGAAGCTTGATACGCGGAATTCTCTTTAGCATTAACAACTTCTCCTTTTGTTTCTTTTTCTCCCGTTGCTTCTGACTGAAAGAGCTTTTGCAAGGTAAGATGCTCTCAAGCTACATGGTCCATATATTTCCTTTGTATCATTCATGCACGCTGACAAACTGGATTTCTTGTCTTGCTTTCCAGCCTCTTTGAATAGTATTCAGAGTGAGATGGAAAGGCTGCAACAAGGGCAAGAAGAGCTGAATAGAATTCAGGTATGCTTGAATTTCTATCAAAAAAATCTTGTATTTCTCAAAACTTGGTCCGCTGTATTTTTTCAGTCTGGTGTCCTTGCAGGGCCTGAATTCTCAGAGATTTCACAAATCTCGCAATGTTTGATACAATCTCAGGGAATTCTGGGAGTTCAAATTCTAATCTATCCGGAAGTCATCACATTGGGAAAAAGTATGTATTTGCCCTGCCACACCTTGCAATTTCACATCACAAAGCAATTTGCTCATCTTATAATTTATTTTATAATTTATTTATATACTTAATTTTGTAATTTTAATGAATACTTGATTGACTTGAGTTTTGACAAACATTAGCAATTGGGCCCGCAGAAATGCCTACTGCACTGGATTGACTATGTAACCAACATGACCCCACAAATGATGCTGAGAAAGATGTTTCTTTATATTTCTCTAAATTCTGCTATTAGGCTTCAGTTCTTCTTCTAGGCATCATGATCAAGTTGTCTGAAGGACCAAGTTAAGGAAGGCTGCAAATACTTCTATTAATGTTGGACAAAATTGAGGCACTTTAGAACCCTGTGTCTAACTAGGATTCTACCTAACGTTTCCTCATGTATTAGTAATCTCAATTACCTTGTTGGATTTCAAGAGTACAAAAATGATCCTAATTAATTGGATTTGAGATAACCAGATTAACTCATTATTTAGTTGTAACTAGACGTTTCCAACTTTGTTATCTTTAAGACCTGGGGTCTTCAACTCTCAGAATTCCCCCAAATCCTCAGTGAACGATGCTGGCTAGGGAATTCTGGACGTTGAAGTCCCCAAGTCTTAAAGTAACCAAGGTTGGACATCCCTGTTCTAGCCTTTTATTAAATTGCTTTTCATCTTTCAGTTTGAGGAAGATGATCACACTGGCATTTCCACCCCCAAATATTTCTAAAATGCCCCTCCCCCAAATCGATATAGTTCTACTGCAAGAGTTACCTTAGCAGATGACCAGACCAGAGGTCTGGTTGCAGAGCCATAGCTCTCTATTGCAGAATCTGTGGAATTTCTGACCTATCAAATATCCCAAGCTGGAAGTGTACAAACATTTGGAAATGGGAAGATGAAAAGGGAATATGGTTGAAAAACAATGGCAAAATCATACCTAGGTCATGGAAGAGAGGCATGCAACAGATTTAGAAGAGGCAGATCTTTTCTCACAAAACAACTTCAAGCAGTATTAAGTGCTCTAGATAAATTTGTTATTATTTCATATTGTCTTTATAGACAAGTTAGTGTACTATTCCATATGATAACAGCTGTCCCCATTAGTCCACTACCCTTGCAGAAGACATTAATTTGACCTCTTCCACTTGTTTTAAATAATGACATGTTCTATGGAGTAACAATCAGCTGCTTCCAGGGCTGTGTGTTTATAGCTGGTGTCCTCAGAACTTCATTTAGTTCTTCAAAAAATGTTTTGACTCAGTCTCTCTAGAGCTCACTTACAAAGTTCTGGGAACTCTTCCTGCAGTTCTCTCAGCCACCTGAGTAAGAACCAGGTAGTTTGTGGGCTGTCCAACCCCAACAGACATAAATGTTGCATCCGGAACACCTTTGTTGATTCATGTTTCACCAATTGCAAAGTTTGAGAAGAAAAATGTGAAAGGATGTAGGTTAAGCAGAGATATGGTGCAGAGTTAGAATTGCCCTTTCTCATGATGTTCCAATCTGAAGGCAAAGCCATGTTTAGATGGAAGCCATTGTCTTAATAACAAAATTATATTTAAAAAGTTAACATAAGAAATAGGCAGGCGCTTGCCTTTGTCCCACAAGCAACACTCACTTACAATAAGTATAATTCTTAGCTATTGGGATTGGGCATATTTGTGTGGGTAGACCTCTTGTTTTAGATGACACATGAAGATGGTACCTATCACTTTTATTTGTGCACCTGAGTGATTTTGGCCATCTCATGTACTTTGGGGGATGTGAGAGATGTTTGTGGGACTCAGTCATCTTCCTTCTTTATACTTTAGTTGCAGCCTGATGTGAGAGAAGCCAGTACACTACCAGGGAAGCCAGAGGCTTAGACTGAGGATAAAGAAATTGGGCCTCTCTGTCTTCCCATCCCTGACACTCCAGGAACCTCAGGGAAATCATGACTTTCCAGGCACCAATAGGTCAACTTGCTCCTCCAGAGCCTCTTCAGGTCTTACCTCTGCATGGATAGGAGTACCAGAACTCTGGAGGTAGGGATGGCTGGGTTCTTTTGTTACTCCCCGCAACCCTTGTCCGGACACTGGAGCCTCCAGAGCATAATAAATAAGATTATTTTTGTAATTTTCTTAGCCTTTGCCTCTCCCTTTCAAGGTTAATTAACTAAGGTTGGGGGGGGGGGGTTTAGCACAAAATATTATGACCCTGACAAAAATGCATAGTACAAGCATCAAAGTGGCCTACTCAAAACAAAAGCAATAGGAATAGTGGCACCTCTACTTTTCAAGATAATATTGCAGCTTGCAAGCAGTTTAAACATTTATAACAAATGCTATTTTGCATCTATGTTATCCTACCTCTTTTATACAAGGCAGATGGAAAGAATTCAGCTGAAAGGGCTTCTATGGTGGCTGCTTTCTTCCTTTTGTCTTCTTTTCAGAGGCCCTAGTCAAACAGTTTGGCTTCACCCTTTGCACCAAATTATATATTGCTGAATAAATCACAATGGTTATATCTCCCATACCCCTATGTCAAAGCCAAACGAATGACATTGTTTAGCCTGATGTATAAACACAATTCCCATCAAAAAGACTGTGAAATCAACTTGTGTGAAGTCAACCTGCAACTCCTAGCTTAAGTCTGACTCAAGCTTCAGGTACTCCTAACTCTACTGTATCCTTGAAAATAGTCAGTGTATCTGGGACTTCTGGGTGATGAAAATGGCAAATTTGAAAGCATGGAGACAACACTGAGGCTGGAACTCTGACTTTTCTGAGGCTGGAACTCTGACTTTCTCTGACAAGGAAAAGCCCAAGAGATTGCCCAATGCCCATGTGCAATCTGGATTTCAGCTTGCGAGGAAGCCTGCAGAATCAAAAAAGAATATGCAGGTACATTGTAAGGAAAGGGTACCAGGGGCTATGAAAGGAAGGGTTGCAGCTCCAGCAAAGTCTTTATTTAAAATGGGTGTTGGGTCCATCTAAATCATCCTGAGCAACAAAGTCCACCCAGAGCAACAAAGATGGTTAGAGGACTGGAGAATAAAACATTTAAAGAATGGTTGCTGGAACTGGTATTGTCTCATCCAGGGGTGTCAAACTCAAAGCCCGTGGGCTTGATCTGGCCTGCAATATAGTTGGATCCGGTCCATAGGGCTGTCCTGGTCTACCCAATGTGAAGAGGAAAGATCAGCCAGTGTAGCTTCAGCCCAGTCTACCTGGTGCGAAGAGGAAAGATCAGGCCAGTGATCAGAAATCATTGCTTTAGATTTTTCTATTCCTTTTCTTTGTCTTTTCCTATCTTTCACTTTTTTAAAAATTCCACCATACCCTTTTCTGTTTTCTTTTTGTAGTCATTGAATTAATGTTTAAAATCTTTTCTTGATTATAATTTTTTTTTCTTCTGCTCAGTCATGTCTGTTTCCCGCAGGCTGCCTGGAGAAATCCCTGCAGTCTTCTTGGCAAGGTTTTCAGAAGTGGTTTGCCATTGTCTCCTTCCTAGGGTGGAAAGAAAGTGACCAGCTCAAGGTCATTCAGCTGGTCAGTTCTCTTCACAGTATCTTTTTCTGCATCATGATTTTAACACTTATTTAATACTGTAATGGAAACGAGGCTTAGGTCCATTAATACTCAGAAATAGGGGATAAAAATCCCTTTATCCTAGAAAAAGAACAGACTTAGAATTCACTGCAAAAGTAACAAGTGGAACAGCGATGCTCTTGTACCCAATAAAAAACCCATGATCAATACAGAGGATTCAAATCCATTTCCTATGGCCTACTGCAGTCTTTCCCAGTTTAGTTTACATTGGGGTTCGGAGAACAGTGCCTGGAAATTTAAATTCAAGAAATCTGGAATCTGCAGGGGAATATATGCATATTTTTATTGGTTTATACCCTGCTTTTACTCTAAAAGATGAAGGACTGTTCATTGCATTTCCATCTTTCCCCAACTTTATAGGGCAAATTGAATTAAAAGACAAGTGATTCACCAGAAATTATCCTACAGGTTTCCGTGGCTGAGTAGACTTGAATTAGGATCTTTCTAGTGCCACTAAATTTAGAACTGATGTCTCCAATATCAAGATGTTACCGTATTTGCAGATACTTCCCTGGACTTCTACCAGACTTGTAAAAAAAATAAATAAATTAAGAACGCATTTATTAACTTTGCCCATCTCGCTGCAAGGCAACTCTGTGTGGCTTGCAACATTAAGAATGGGAAACTGATGTTGATATTATTAATAATTGTACTGTTTTATATTGTTGTAAGCCACTGTCAGTCAATTACAATTAAGTACCATCTAATTTCAATAAATACTGTAATAAGACAAACTGTAACCCAGTATTTGTTAGGAAGTAGGAACTGGTCAGAAAAGAACAGTGAAAGGGGAGATCAGAGGTGGCTAGAAGGTATCATTCTAGCAACTCAAAGTTTTATAACTGCATTGTTATGAATGTAAATCCCCCCCAGTAGCCATTATGAGATTACTCAATATTTTCCCAACATACCCCACTTGCCTAAAGAGGTTGGGGATTCCTGCCTTATATGTTACCAAGCCTAAATATCTGATTGAACAAACTGAAATCAAATTTTATGTGTTTTTTTTCCCCTACGGTTTCTCTTTTGTAAAAGTTTACAGCTGGTGACTGACGCCTGTTCTCATTTACATTCTATTCACACTGCTCTATAATAGTGGTGATTTTTAATACTATTTTCATTTCCTGGACCTATAGAAAAGAATAATCAAATTCCATCATGATCTCAACAACTTACACCATACCATCAGCTTCAGCCTTGATCTATTAAAAAATCCTCTTCCTTGAAGTCATAATAAACTATTATGTATAAATAAACATCATGTGCTGCAGAAACCACCAGAAACTGCTATCAGAATCTTCTTGATATATTATTTCTAACCATCTTTATTATTTTATAAATAACTAAAGTCAGCAAACCTATCGAATACTCCTTCCTTCTTTTATTTTCCTCAAAACAACTCTGGGAGATAAACTTGGATTGAGAGACAGTGATTGACTCATAAGTCACGCAGCTGGTTTTCATGAAGAAAGCGGGATTAAAATTCAGTTTCCTGTTTTTTTACCTGGTGCCTTAATCACTAGACTGGTGATAAACGTTTTTGGATTTGGCATATCAAAAATTCAGAAAATGCCTAAGTTGAACCCGCTGGCATGTCACTCTTCTCCAACAAAACAGAAACAGTTCTCTTGACACAGACACATCATCTAGGCCAGGGGTCACCAACCCCTGTTCTGTGGACCAGCACGGGCTGTGGCATGCCAGCAACCGGGCCATGCAAATAAGTGGAGCCCCACCTAACGAATGCAGGCAGCATGCAAAACCACGCCCCTTCCGGTCCGTGGAAAAACCTTTCTTCATTGAACCGGTCTCAAATGCCCAAAAGGTTGGGGGCCACTAATTTAGGCCATCTTGAATAGTGTCACTTGGTGGCAGAACTAAGCTGGGTCTGAAATAGAAACCTGGGCATTAACTTCAGCCTTGTGCCATCGCTGCCATTCAAAAAAGTCATCTCACATTGTTTCTCAAGGTATGCGAACTTAGAAGCAATCACCTCTCAAGTTCTGTTGTGCACCACTCACCTTCAAGTGTTCTTTTTCAGTGTTCTTTCCATTGACTGGTTCCTATAGCCTATCCAAGGCTGCTCCAGGTCGCAGTAGGCCTTTGTTTTTCAAGTGCCTTTGGAGAATGCTCTTTTGTGGCCTCTGCAGCCTCTAAAATTATGAGAAACCACATCCTGTCCTCACATGGTTTTTGGAAACTCTGGAGGCTTCACAAACATGGTCTTCTCACACAGCTTTTAAGAGTCTAAGGCTCTGCAAGGGCACACCCCATTCTCCTCCAATCTCCAAAAATCACACAAGATTTAGATGTGCTTTTGAGAATATAGGGAATCTCTGGGTTACAACAGTTCATTTAGTAACTGCTTGAAGTTACAATCTAATCACCCCTTAAATACTTACGACCGTCCCAAAATTACAAATGTTGCAGCACTGTGGCAGTTGTTCACACTTATGAACCACCGCAGAGGTGCTGCAACATTTGCCCTGGCTATGTCTCTACAGGCACTACAGTCTCTACAGGCACTAAGTCTGTGGATACTCATTTTGCGAAAATTCAGGGAGCCTGTTCAGAACTTCAGGCCTTCGGTGTGTTTGCAGAGAATGGAGGCCTAAAGTAGCACAAGATCTCGCATGATCTCATGATACGAATGTGTCTTTTATGTATACTGAGAGTATTTACACCAAGACAAATTCCTTGTTCAATCACACTTACCCAATAAAGTATTCTATCTATTCTATCTTCTATCTACTTTAGGTCTCTGTTCTCTGCAAAAGGAGGCCTGGATGAGACCTGCAGCAACAAGTTTTGCAAATGGAGGGAAGGCCTGAAGCACAGAAGTCTTCCATCCATTTGCAAAGCCTTTTGATGTATTTGCATAAACCCTTTCCCGCTGAGAATGGAGGCTGGGAGGGGTGTGCCCATCCCTCTGTCCTCGCTAGCAAAGGCCTCCTTGGTCCCTTTGCTAGTGATGACAGGCTGGGATGGCCGTGTGCGACTCTTCAGGCCTTGGTCCTCGCCAGCAAAGCCTCCTCAGACTAGTGCTGGCGGAGCTAAGCTATCGTAATGGTTTATGCTTGCTGGGAGAAACAAAAGAAATTGGATTTCTTGATTATGCAATGTGGCCCCGTGAGGGAGTGACCTCCTCTAAGTGGACCCCCTGAGTTTTTCAAAAAATAAGTAAGCAAATGGTGATGGGATGGGGCATGGAAGAGGCCCCAAGGGGCAGGAGAGTCTGGGATATCTTTTTTGTTGTTGTAAATTTTATTGATTTTTAAAGACAAACATAAACAAAACAAAAACATCAAACTTTCTTCCATAGATATGCAGACAGTGTGCCGGTTGGTTTACAAATCATTTTGTGCATCCATTTCGTAGTCTTCAATTACAGTTACATTACATAAGAGCTCATATTATCAAACAAAAATTAAATACCCTAATATCATTATTAATCAATCATTCATATTTTACGAGATAACCACAATTTACTTAGTTTATTTTATAACATTTCATATTATTCTCCCAAATCTATCTACATTTATATCTTGTAGATATAATAAAAAAGAAATACATCTTTATATATTTATTATTTTCTAAAAATCTACATATTTCATTACTGTATTTTATTATCTAACCATTGATAGAAAAGGTCGCAAATTTTATAAAATTGTTTATCCTCTTGTTCTCTAATTTCAAATGTCAATCTCATTTCAGCACATTCTAATATTTCCTTAATGATTTCCTCCTGTGATGGTATTTTCTCATTTTTCCAGTTTTTAGCAAATACAATCTTAGCTGCTGTTAATACATTTACAATCAGGTATTTCAAATCTTTGCTATATGTTTCAGGTAAAATTCCCAATAAAAAGATCTCTGGTTTCAAGTCTATATGTTTTTTTGTCATTTTTTCTAACCACATCCAGTATTTTTTAGCGTCTGCACAAGTCCACCACATATGGTAATATGAGCCAGGTGTCTGATTTGTTCTTGAACATTCTTGCTATTCTTGTCAGGAGAAAATGCCACCTGTAAAACATCTTATACACATTTTCTTTATAAGCTGTTGACATTGTCATTTTATAATTTTGAGACCACAATTTTTGCCGTTTCTCTAAATCAATCCTATATCCAAAGTTCTTCCCCCAAGCAATCATAGTTTCTTTAACTTGTTCTTCTTCTAGTTTAATTTCTAATAAATATCCATACAGTTTTTAAATCACCTTTTCATCAGTGAGAGTCTGAGATATCTTAGAGCAGGGGTCCCCAGCCTTGGCAACTTTAAACCTAGTAGACTTCAACTCCCAGAATTCCCCACCAGCTTGAAGCTGAAGTAATCATTGACAGGTAGAATATTTTAGCAGACAATTTTGTGTGTTAAGCTTAGGTCAGACTGTAGGTGGCGTAGTTCTAAATTGTTTAGGTCCAAAATTTCAAGTCTGGTGGCATAAGGCTTGCAGGCTGAGGAGTGGAGTAGTCCCAAAACATTGTGACATGTCACTTTTGACATACATGTGATAGATTTCCTTCACTATACTGAACCAAACTAACTCTAATAGCAGGAATCACTGTAATTTATAATTTAGCACAAGGAAAGAATAATAATTAATCTGAATGGGTATCTGGGTGTTATCTTGTCCAATCTTC